GGTCAGGAGAGGTCTGCCACACCATGTGGATCACCTCAGGGTGGGCAGGGTTCGAACTCATGCTGACATGACTTTAGCTTCTTAGTGCTGTGCTTTAACCTGCTGCACCACCAGGGAGGGCCAAAATTGTGAAATATTTTATTAAAATTATTCCCTTCCTGCCTGCTTTTCTATTAAAGTCTCAAAGTAATGGGACATGCTGAAGTGAGTCTATTTGTCTACTTCTGAAAGGAGAAAAGCTGTAACTACAGAAACACTGCTGTCACTGGACAATGATAATTCATGTTTTCAGTTGAGAGTACCATGCCAGGAGGAAAACATGATTGGGAAGGGGTTGCAGAGGAGGAAGGAGAGAATGAGCAGAAGGCAGGAAGAAGAAAGGCAGAGGAAAAGGAAGGAAAGTGTGTTTTGGAAAGCTGGCATCTTGCATGCACTGTGAGGTATGACCCCATAAGATCACTTTAAGATTAGCCCCTTTCTTAATGATGCTACAAGAACTTCTAAGTGGAATAATATCTCAGTTTTGTGGATATGTTCTCTTTTGCCAGATCATTATTTTCTTCCTTTGCTCCAATACCACTTTTCTTCTAGTAACTTCAATTCTGCAATCAGGTTCAAAGGATTTGAGTTAGTTCAGGTTTGTATGTTGTATCTATTGGGAAATAGAATTTTCAAAAATGTAGACTAATATTTCTATCCATCAAAAAACTTGAGATCTTTCAAAAATGATTTGTAGGTACTTAGTGTAAGATTCAGAAACTTCAATTATAAATCAATTATAGGTCTAGGATAGAGCTACTATCTCTCTATTGGCAAAAAAATATCTTTCAGAAAATATGATAAAATTGTATAATTTTTAAATAAGAAAATTTCAGATAAACAAGTGGAAATGATTTCTTTAATGCTCCAGAGACCACCTTGCTAGAAAAAGGTAATGTTCCAATCTACAATCTACTTAGCACAAGACAATTAATTAAAATAGCTGTGATTTTCAGAGGTGGAAATAAGTATAGTAAATTAATTATGTTGTATGAATTGAACACAGAGAATTTCTGGGGCAACACAGATAATTTTTAGGGCAATAAAACTACACTGTATGATAATGTTGAATAAGTGTCATTATACGTTTTTCAAAGCACAGTATATAACACTTAAGAATGAATGTGAATATGAATTATGGACTATGTATATAATAGTGAGTGTGAATATATTTCATCAACTTAAACAAATGTATCTGTGTCAGGCAATGTGATAATTGGGGAGTTGGCGCATGTTTAGTGGCAGAGTTTATATGGCAAATCTCTATTAGGTATTGCTGTGTGTCGTAACTCTTATGTACACAAAGGAAAAATAGCCTTTCAGGAAAGTATTAGACCACATTGAAGTAATAGAATTCTTGTTTATGAGAAAGACTATTGCAAGCAAATAGCTTAGAATGGATATCTAATTGCCTCAAGAGACCCTCAGCTTTTCCTTTGTGATTTATTACACTGTGCACCTTCCCTGCTGATAATGGGTCACAAAGTTCTAAGCATATCTACAAAATAGCCTTTCCATAATAGTTGTGAGATTGAGAGCTCATTTTACATTACCATTTCATCACTTCATTCATAAAAAGCATAATATTTGACTTTATATTTCCACAATCTCAGCTTCCAACAGACAAGGAAAATTAAGACATCACACTAGCACATAAAACACTACTTACCTAGTACTTCACTATAAAGTTGATTCCATTTTTCACTGAATTTTTTAAAATGAAATTCGAAATAGAGCATATATATCATGTTTTTTACCCTCTCCATGAATGTCATGTGATCACTTAATTCTGACAAACAAACAGGTACATAGGAAGGTGGAAGTGGAAGTTTTCCACTGTACTTTGTAAATATATTTCCCGGTGTGAAGCGTAGAGTGTACACAAATGGGACTTTGAGCAGCTCTGCCAGCAGCTCAGCACAGGGTGCAACAGCATCTGCAAGAATGAGATCAAATCCTGATTCTTGGGTAAGTTTTGCCATTATATCCTTGTTCAAAATTACATCTTTACATCCAATTTCAGCTAAATCAAAACTTTTCCAAAATAATTCCTTTATTTTTTGCAAATATCTCCAAGGTACATCTTTTGCTGTATCATTTGTCCATAGACTAAGAAGCTGCCCGACATGATGTTCCCAATCTTCTTTTTTGAGACTTGAAGGGACAACCTCAAATTTAATGGCAGATGGTTTGCTGGAGTCCATTTGAATGGAAGTTGTAGGTGTCAGAGCAACCACTTCGTGACCTCTCTCAGCAAGTTCATCCAGAATTGTTTTCATAGATATCCAATGACTATACTCTGTGGGCCACACCAGCAACTTTCCACAGCTCCCAAAGCTAAAGTAGCAACTCATTCGGAGCAGCAGAAGAACTGATGTCCACTGCAAAGACATCCTGGTAGAATGAGGTGTTTCTCTTCAAATATCCCTTCTGCAATTACCCATTATTATATCAAAGAAAAAATCAATCAGAAAGTTAAAGTTTGACTGCTAGACCTCAAACCATTACATGAAACTTCCACAGCATTTGGATGATGTGGAAAAATCAAAAGGTAGATGCTTTTTATGTACAAATGTTTTTAATTTGTTTGAATAGATTGTAAGTACTACCACCCAGCTAAGATTATGATTGTGACAGCTATATTTCTGAGATGATATTACAATGTTTTTTTAAGAAGAGTGTCAAGATCAAGTGAGAGGTGACTATTTCTGCATTCTCCTAAACTGGAGAGATGAAACTACATTATATATCTGTTGTGGATATTCTTGGATATGGTGGTTCAAGTTATTTCTTAAATAAAAGCATTATTGTATAAATCACATATCACACAATAGCCTAATTTAAAGTGTCCAACACTTTTTATTACAAACATGCTATTGAGTAACCATGTTAGTCAAACTTAGAACATTTCATCACTTTGAACAGATAATATTTGACTGGGATGAATTATATTTTCTGTATCTTCCCAAACTTTCATCTATTTTCTGTCTTACAGATTTTCTTATTTTGGGTATTTCACTTAACTGAATTTCTAAATGGTGTGTTTTTCGAGACTAACTTAACATAATGTTTACTTAATTTTAAAGCAACTGAGATATAATGCAATTACAGTTTTGTTTTTTTTAAATTTTTTTTAAAGATTTATTTATTTGTACATACAGAACTGGGGTACAGGCCAGAAGCTCAGGGGCGGCAAGAGGCTTCACCAGAGACAGAGTGGGGAACAGAACAGGCAGATCGACGAAGTACACTGCTGAGGGGAGCAGTGGGTGGGTCAGGAGAGGTCTGCCGTGTCATGTGGTCTCCTCCAGGGCAGGCGGGAATAGAACTCATGCGGAAGCGGCTTTAGATTCTCAGTGCTGTGCTTTAACCCGCTGCGCCACCAGGGAGGGCCGCAATTACAGTTTTATGCAATAAGATGTACAGGTGATTATTTGATTTAGTTAAATACAATATAGTGCTTTCACAAAAAGATCATCTTTATATATTTTTAAATATATGGTCAGTACTTTTTAATTTTTTTGTACATCATTCTTCATTTTGTGCATTTTTTTCATCTCAGTTATAATCCCCTGGGGCTTCCCTCCACCAATTCACCCGTGTGCCATCACCATAGTCCAGTGCACTCTTCCCACCCTAGTTGTGATCCCATTCCCCTTTGCACCCCCATAAAATGTCTCTGGTTTATAGTTGTTCATTGTTTTCATTTTTACTCTACTATATTTGTTTCTCTCTTTCCCTCCCTGATCCCTTATTCCCTTGCTATGAGTGAAACCATCTGGTATTTTTTCCTTTCTTTCTAGCCTATTTCACTAAGCACAATCCCTTCCAACTCCATCCATTTTGCTGCAAAGGCATGCGTTCATCTTTTTTGATCACTGAGTAATATTCCACTGTATATATGTAACACCTCTTCTTGATCCAGTCATCTATTATTGGGCATTTGGGTTGATTCCATGTCTTCCCTATTGTAAATAGAGCAGCAATAAACATGGGGGTGCAGGTATCCTTTTGATTCAATGTTTTTGTGTCCTTTGGGTATATACTTAGGAGTGGGATTGCTGGGTCATATAGAAGCTCTATTTTTTAGCCTTTTGAGAAACCTCCAAACAGTTTCCATAGTGGTTGTATCAGCTTACATTCTGTGGTCAGTACTTTTAAGACCTCCTAAATTATTACCTTTCTTAGATATAATACTTTATTTTTAGCTATGGTCACCATGCTATCCAATAGATCACAACATTTTATTCATCTGAATGGGAAATTTTGTCCTTTGATCACCTTCATCCACCTCTTCTGCCTGCTTACCTCAGGCAATTACACACACACACACACACACACACAAAAGCCCAAAAACCTCTGTGGCAGCCTCCCTGGTGATGCAAAGAGCTAAAACAATCCAATTCCAGCCAGGGAGGTTGGGAGGTGACTTCATAATGCAGCAGACCTCTTGCCTACTGCTCCCTCAGCAGTATATTTCAAGAGATCCACCTGTCTGCTCCCCACTCTGTCTCTGGTGAATATGCTCACTCCCTGCATCTCTGACTTGTACCCTAATTCTTATATGCATAAATAAATAATTTAAAAAATGTTTTTATAAATTCTGTACTTTCAACTCACACAGTAAGTACTCATTTTAATTTGTAAAGTTTTTCTATCATGAGTAGATTGTATACTGTTATCAAATGATTTTCTGTAAGATTGAAATTGTCATAATATTTTTGTCTTTGATGCTTTGGCCACTGTTTTATTCTGGTGTGTGCATCAGAGCTACAAGTTTCTTTGTAAGAAAGTTTAACAAAAATGCAATTATGGGCCCTCCCTGGTGGCGCAGTGGGTTAAAGCACAGCACAGAGAGGCTTAAGCCACTTACGCATGAGTTCGATCCCCGCCTGCCCTGGAGGTGACCACATGGCGTGGCAGACCTCTCCTGACCCGCCTGCTGCT